GAGGGGAGCTGTTGCATTGTGGTAAATTGTGGTCAACGTCATGAGACAAAGTGTATGTGAACTGCTGTATGGAAAGTGTATTTTGCTCTGTAAATTTTCACCCAAATCACAATAAAAAAATATATATATATATGACAGTAAAACCACGATAGATTAAAACAAAGTCCACTGTACAAGTGATATTTTTAAAAAGCTGCATTGATACGGGATTTGACAAAACTGTTTAAAGCATCAAAGGTCAGAAAACAATAAGCAGAGGTGGTGTGACCACCTTCTAATGAACTAGAAGATTCACTCCTTAAAAGCCACTTAGACTCAACGAACTGAAACACAACACAACTGTTTTTCCACTTTAGAGGCTTGCCACATGCTATAGGATAACACCACGCATGCATGGTGAACTTGCAAGATGGGGGCACATCTTCACCAGTCTCCCTCCACACTCACACTCCTGATTTGACCTTTATTTTTATTGTCTTAACTCCAACTCTCCAGGCGTCATTCGGTTTGTCCATAGTTGTCTTCGTCCTCCGTCCTTCGCAGATACGGTGAGCTTTCAAACTGCTTCTACCACACAATGGGCCCCCATCCCTGTGACCGGGGCAAGGTCCCTGTTCCCAAAGCAAGGGCAGTCCACCCAGGGCCCCAGGTTCGTGCCTGCAATGCACTCAGACCCGTGCCAGCACTCAGAGCGCTCAGTAAGCAGTAACAGTCAGTTCCTCAAAGCCAGTGTCTGCTGGCTGACAGCTCTGCGCCTGCAAGCGCTTGGAACGGGGACACTGAGGAGTGAGCCGCGTGCCAGTCCTCCAGGAACGTGTGTTTAGCACCATCACCCCACTCTGCTGCTTGTTCACACAGACTGACTGTGTGCAGACCATGCAAGGGGGGAAAAGGCAAACGTTTGCTTTGCAAATATCTGGTGGACGGGGAAATAAACCCACTCCCGCCTTGGAAGCACCTCCATGTGTCCCCTTCCCCCATGCAATGCCACCCAGCGAACTAGGGGCTTCTCACTGCCCGCTCTGCTCTCTCACCTTCCCGCGTCTGTACCCCGACCAGGGCACCTTCACTCGGCAGGTGCTTAAACTTAAGGAAAATGCTCGACATCTTCCGCAAGGTGTTGTTCTTTCCTCCTCAAGGCTGCTCTGCTACTTATCCTCAATGACGCCAGGGGCTGAGACTCCTTCCCTGTCACTGTCATATAGTGCTTCGCTGCAGGACCATAATGCAATTGATTTACCCAGTCTTCTGTGATGGACACATTTTATACGCAGGGTGACTACAGACATTCTTGGATATGCCCCCCGTCACTCATGTTCACCAGTTTCTCTGGGGCAAAACCAAAACCCCAAACCCACTGCCATCGGGTCAATTCGGACTCCCAGCAACACTGTACAACAGAGCAGAAGTGCCCCACCAGGCTTCCAAGGCTGTCATCTTCACAGAAGCAGACACTGCATTCGCAACGGAGAAGCAGAGTGGTGCGTTCGGACCACTAACCTTCTGGTTAGCAGGTAAGCACTTGACCACCGTGCCACCAGAGCGCCTTTTCTCTACGGCAATGGCTTTCAAATCGTACATCAACTCACCTGAGCCTGCTAAGTCAGAGCCCCAGCCCTCCACAGACTCCGATTCACGGTGCCCCGCGTTGGAACAGCACAGGGCTCCACGGGGTTTGGGAAGGCTGATTTTCAGGAGGCAGCCAAGGTCCTTCTGCCCAGGTGCCTTTGTGTGGACTCAAACTTCAAACCTCTCGGTTGGCAGCAGAGCACTTAACCCTCGGCACCTCCCTGTACATCGAGAGGCTCACCTCCTTGCTCTGCCACTATCACTGGGAGGGACTCATCACTAACCTTCTGTGGGGCTCAGCCTCCACTTCTGACAGCGAGGGAGGGAAAGTCTACGTTCCCCATCCCCACAGGCTGTGAACTTTGCTAGCTCTGAGGGTACTCATTCCTGCAAGCTCCCAAAGGGAAAAGAGCACCGGTGCTTCATCAGGGAGCTTGGTGGTGCAACGGCTGAGCACTTGAGTGCTAACCAAAAGGTCAGTGGTCAGAACTCAGCAGCTCCATGGGAGAAAAGTGCTGGTGATTTGTTTCCATAAAGATTAGAGCTAAGAAAACCCTATGGGCCAGTTCTCCTGTCAGAGGGTCACTATGAGTCAGAATTAACTCTACGGCACCCAACAACGGTGTTTCATCTAAATGAATCAATTAAAATTTCATCTACTGGCCTCTGAAGACTTAATAAATCTCAAATAATGCATTCTTTTAAATAAAATGGCATCTACTTTGCTCTAACTAACCAAACTCTGACTTTACAGCTCCATGTTTTTATCTATATAAAGCCTAATTTGGGGGAATTCAATATAATAATTCCCAGAAGCCCATCACTCAATTGTCTCCTCAAATGTGGTGATCTAAGTCACCCAAATTACAGTTCAAAAGAACTAAGCTCCAGGTCAGCTTGTGAATAATGTGGTGATCCGACAAGTATGGAAAACAAAGAGTTCAAAGATGCCTGGCTCTGCTCCAGGTATATACCCAAAAGCACGGACAGCAAGGGCTGAGACTGCAGCGTCCCAGGTCATGGCAGGGACTACAGAGGCCCACAGTGCCAGCAAGGCAAGCGTCCCTCAGAGACAAGCAGACAAACTCCGTGCAGCACACTCTTACAATGGAGCAGCACACAGCCCCAAAGGAAGTCCTGACACACGCTATGATGCAGATGAACCTTAGAAAAAGTATTCTAAGTAAAATAAGTCAGACACAAAAGGAGAAATGTGTGCGACCACGCCTCTACAAAATATCCAGAGGAGGCAAGTGCACAGAGACCGAGTTTATTACGGTTACCTGGGGCTGGGCTGGGCGGGGAGTGGCAGGTTACACTCCAGGGGTGCAGGGTTTGTCTGGGGTGATGACAAGGCCTTGTAGTGATGATGGTTGCACACGTTGTGGATATAACTATACACCTGAATTAGACACTTAAAAAATGGTTAAAATGGCAGATTTTATGTTGTATCTATAAAAATCTAAGGCTCTGGAGACACAGTTGCATTACTTCATAAGACACTACTGTCTTCCTTTTATAGTTTTAAGAAAAATTCTAAGTCAAAGAAAGCATTACATGTATGTGCTGTTAGGTCAGAATCTGAAACTCACTACAGACCAAGCTAATTACTGCATTCTTTATTCACAAAACAGATCTGCAGTTTGTGTTTAAAATCATAATCCTAGCATCTGGGTATTAAATAGAAAATAGTCTCCAGAAACTCCTCATTGTCCTCTCTCCTGCAACGCCACATGACAGTCCTTGCCATTCATTTACCGGACACTCGCTCCTCCAACACCAGGAGTTCACCCTCTGCACTGCTAACCCTTCACAACCTGAAGGGTCAGGGAGCCTTCTGGCAGGAAAACTAGGGAATCTCTCCCCATCAAAAGCCAATGTTGTTGTTGTTATGTGCCGTCGAGTCAAACCCGACTCATAGCGACCCCTCCTTGGGTTTCCGAGGCAGTATCACTACGGAAGTAGGATTGCCCAACCTTCCTTCCGAGGAGTGGCTGGTGGGTTTGAACCACCAGCCGTCTGGTTAGCAGGCGAGTGTCTTAGCCACTATGCTACCAGAGCTCATGAAATTCACATGACACTTCTGGGAGGTCACAGAGCTCATTAAGGCCATATGGGGTCTGGTAAAGGACCTGGGGTCTACCTCCCTTTCTAGCCGGGGTTATCATCTTAGTCCTGTGTACGGGCAAGGGTGGGGGTTTTTGTTCTGTTTGCCTGGTTAGTCAATCATGTAACACATACAGCATGCCAATATGTGTTCCATAATAGCATCTTATTGGGCATAATGTAGCATATTTCTTTCAAAGTTTAAAAAAAAAATGTATTCACGACAATCTTTTCACAAAGTTATCATATGGTTCTCTACTTCCTTCACAAGTATCTAGAATACAACTTAACGTTTTCTTGATGGTTAACGGCATCAACTGCCGGGATGGGAGAAAAACTGTACCCGCGACCAGGTGCCATGCAGTCAATCCCAACTTGTGGCAACACCACGTGTGTCCCAGGAGCCGTGTGCTCCAAAGGGCTTTCAATGGGACGGGCCCTTCTTCTGAGGCCCGTCTGGGTGGACTCAAACCCCCAACCTCTGGTTGCAAGCTGAGGCACTTAGCGTTCGTGCCACCCAGGAACTCCAACGAAGGAACCTCCTACCATGCGTTCAACTCACGGCCTGGGGGTCAAGTGACAGTTACAACGCTGAGGGCTGATTCAGAGCAGGCCCTACACCAAGCACTTTACACTTGTTATCACTTAACACTCACACACACTCCATCCCAAGTTACAAACGAGATCCATTCTCGCGTGCCTTTCACCAAATTTGAAGGTGAGTCAAAGCAGGTGCATACAGTTCTTATTTAGCCTCACTTTAGGGTAAGAAAAGGCTCAAAGCCTTTTCAATGATTTAAAAGTTGCCCACGCAGCAAGTGAAAGTGATTGTGGTAAAGAATTTGTTGAGGAGTTGGTTCAACTGTTTCAACATGAGGGCAAATTTTCATCCCATTAAACCGCAAGTAAAAGTTGTCCCTAAGTCCAATGTCCGTAACACAGGGATTTCCTGGATATATCCATTGCACATATGAAGCCTCTGAGGCTCAGAGAGGTTAAAGGACTTCTCTGACGTCAGCTGGCCAGCAGGTCACAGAGACAGGATTCCAACTCGGATTTGCTGATCCAAAGTGCAGGCCGCCACAGCCCACTGGGAGATTAGGCTGTGGTGAGATTAGGAGACCTTCCTCCAGGTCACTGAGGAGAGGGAGGTGCTCAGGACTGAAGTCACTGCTCGAGCCTCTCCAATCAAAGAGACTTCCTTTCCCCTACAAATGGGAATTGCAGCAAATGCTTCTTGAATGAATTACTAAACTTCACCAGTAATTAAAATTTGAGAGGAAGGCAAGGGGACACTAGCCAAGGAAAAAGAAGGAAACTCTCCGAGGGCAACGATGTATTCCTAAAAATGCACACAACGTACGCTTGAGGGTGCCTTGATTACAGACACTACAACTGCACAGCTTATGTTTATTCTCCAATTCATGACTGACAAACTGGGTATCTTGTCACAACCTGTGGTACAAATCACCTTCTTAAAGCAGATGAGAAAGATCCAACTGGAATTGGTTCTGCAAAGGTTAGAGAACTGGCTAACAGAACACACTTTCCGAATGCTGTTGGGAGAGGGTCATCACAAAGGAGGGAAGCCTTCAATGGGATGGACTCATAATATACCACCAATCATAAAGATGACGCAGCACTGGGCAATGTTTCATTTTGTTACAGGACAGGTTGCCGTAAATCCAAGCCAACTTGACGGCAAATCAACGTTCCAGGAGATGTCCCATGGAACAAGTGCACACCCACTGCTTCTTGAGACCTAACTCAAATCCTGCATCCTGCAAGCTTTGGCCATCTGCTCCCTGCAGTCAGAGACAACGTCTGTGGCGCCCTATCTTTATTTGAGCACTTAGCAAAGGGTGTGCTGTTTACTTACACTGTTTGCCCCTCAACCACATCTGGAAATCCCAGAGGGCAGTTATTTATCTTCAGCCCCTACAAGGTGTTTGGCAGGAAGCAGGAACCAGTGCTGGTTAAAGTAGAGCCACTCACTGGGCTTTGCTTAAAGAGACCGGCGGAACTCACTGCTAGCTTGGAACCTTTCTGTAAATCTGAAATCATTCTAAATTTAGAAGTTTTCAATAAATAAAGCACCAGGGGCAATGGTGTTGCCAGCCATAATCCCACCAGTCGTCTCTGTTAGGTCCCTACTCAGACCGACCCTATGGACCCCGGAGCCAACCGTGGCCGGTCCTGCAGCTTCCTCACGCCGTTGCCATGTTTGAGCTCACTGTAACCACGCCTGCCTGCGCGCTATACGCCTTGCAGTTTCTCAGCCATGTGGGTAGACGTTAGGAACTCGCCTGCGGTATTCTCGAGTAAGGAAAGCAGTGCTGCAACACTCGGGATTTGAACACGACACGAACCCTGGTCAGCTTTTTAAGTGAGTGGGTTTGTAAAAAGGACGTGATAGTTCCTGCCCTACAAGG